ATGTTCTGGAGTGTCAGTCATAACAGGATTATCACCTTGTTTTTTGTGGTGAGATGGGTCATGTTTAAACCCGTGTTTGTGGCTGCTCCCGCCATGGCACTGTGGAATTGTCACCTGTTCATCCAGCACAGACTGTATGTGGACAGCTGGACCGTTGTCTTCCTCGCCCATGCAAGGCCACTAAAACATCACTGCGGCAGGGGGGTTAATTTTAGGGTTCAGGTTTCTCTCTGTGGTCTTTGCGGAAGAAAGGAGGGACGTTACCACAAGGAGGAGGAGGAGGATGGTATTGGATGCAGGTTTGGGAACAAGGATAAAGAAACACTAGAGAGCTTTTCTGTGGTTTATCTTGTTCACACAACCTTCCTTTGCCCATTCCCTCCCTCGTTTCCCTCCGTCTCACTGATATTATCACACCAGAAATGGTCCTGTGGGAAGAAAGGTGAGGAATTCAGTAGTATTAAATGTATTTTGAGGAATGAATTTGCTTTTAAAATAATTAATAGTAGTAGTAATAATAATATACCATATGTTCATGTCTCTATTAAGCTTGGCCTGCAGTGCATAGGTCTCCATTATTATTGCACATAAAGGTCTGTACACGCACAACCCTCCTAATAATGCAATGATACGCAGCTATTTAATTGTCTACAGATGTGCATCTGATATGATCTACTATTCGTAAATCTACCAGCCGCCAATCACCAACCGTCTTACTATTCACATCAGGTTTCACGAGAACTGGTTTTGCATCTTTTGATCTTGCCATGAAGGAAAGTGATTGCAGGCACTTTGGAAACAGTTAGAGCAGGGGACCTAGGCCCCTAGGGAGTGTGCTACGTTACTGCAAGGGGACTGCAAGTTCTTGTTTGATCTAAAAAAAACAAAAAACAATTACAACGTGACGAAAAGACTTAATTGAGGTTTAAAGTTTTTGCTAAATGTTGTTGTTTCTCCTACAATGTATTTTCTTTTTCTTTTTTTATAAATTTTTTATTGTTTTGACATTGTTTAATATACAGAATAACACAGACAAACAATCAGCTTTGCAACAGAAAAAACAAACAAAAAACAACAACATGATAAATGAAATAGAAGTATATCTATAAAAAATATAATAATAATAATAATTTGGTTAAAACTAATCAGTTAAACTGAAGGGTGATTGGCCGAAATATACGAAACAATACTTAAAACCTAATATACTCCAAAATATACAAAGTACAAAGACTATACATGTACAAAAGATTATGTAAAAAGAAATATAAACCCATACAAAAATCTTGACATACAAACAATTGGAACAGCGCTGAAAGAAGTCTACGTCAATAAAAAAGAGGCAATTATAACCCAAACAGGGAACTTTAAACACGACTCTAAATCAATATATATGAAGAAAAAAGCCCAAGACCAGAAAGTGTGTATTTGGGAGGGGGGTGAATCTGCTTAATTCAAATTAATAAACCTTTAAGCTTCTCTAAAGTATGAGCCCAAAGTCTAATGGTGTCCTCTCTGGCGACCTACAATGTATTTTTAAATCATTTAATTTATTTATTAAAATCATTTAAATATTTTATAAATAAAAATATAAGGAATTAAAATAAATAAATAAATCCTTTCCCTAATACAGGTGATAAATCAATGCACTAAAACATAGTTTTGCAATTTCATCACAAGTCAATAAATAAATAAGAAAGAAAGAATTAATAAATGAATGAACACTTTCCCTAAACAATTAATTTTATAATTCAGTATGGATACAAATATCCAGTTTATTTTAATGTATATGCAGTATAAGCATCATAACTCAAATGTTAAACAATTATAAATAAAAATATGAGAAAAAAAATTACTCTTACCTTAATCAATAACAGGCGATAAATCATTATGGATATAAAATATTATTTTTAGACATACGCAACCTCATAACACAAATATAAAAAACATTGCGATATAATAATAAAAGCTATAAGAAATTGAATAAAAATGTACCCTAATCAATATCTATATTAACGTATTAAAATATTATTTTTAATGCATAAGCAATTTAATCAACATAACACAATATGTAAACACATATGGTACTATATGCATGCTAAAAGACAGACAATCGGTTTTATACAATATAACAGGGGCCCCCCACTCTGTCTCTCTATTCAAAAGGGTCCTTGGCCTGATTTAGAGGTTTCTGTCAATGTCTCGAGAGCGCAGGAAAGACATTGAACGTCAATGAACGTCTTGAGAGCGTTGTAAAGACATTCATATATAGACATTCATACCGAACAGGGTTAAATGCATTCAGACATTTCCCACCCTGAGAAGACGTGCACGTTTAGATGTAGGTTTGAGACCCCAAAACCACAAACTTTCCCTTTTCACCCAGATTGCAGTGCTACGTAAGTGGGGTATTTATTGTGGTCTGTGCTCGAACTTAAAACACATCTCAGAGTGCACACGCACCTGCAGGTTTGCTCGGTCAGTTACCCGTCACCACGCCCTGATAGGCATGCTGCATCATCGTGATTGGTCAGTAAAGATAAACACGGGCCAGTCCCAGCTCAGAAGGGCGACGTGTTTGAGAAAAGGTGCAGAGAGGCGGCCCAAAAGAGACAAAGGGCACCTGGGAATGTTTTCATCTGCTAGAGGCCATCTTAACTCGGAGAAGCTCGTGTTACATTATGTAATTGGGCCCGTGCGGCCACCAAATGGTGTGTGGCTGGGGTGGGTGTAGAAGTTTTTAATAAAGGAGAAGTGATGCAGGTCCCAGGGCGATCACCTGTGATTCAGAGAATGGGGAATTTTTGCAGAACTCCAGGAGTTGTAAATGACGTTTCGGACCCCTCCCTCATGCTTCGATATCTTTCTCCCATTCTCCGAAATGGCGATAATTGGAGATGAGAGCTACATATGGTCCCTTCAATCCAACCTCCCCCAGCCCAAGCTGAAAGCTCATTAAAAAGGTTGCTTGTTAATGAGCTATAGGGATCACGGAGCGTCCCACTCATTAGAGGAGCCAGAGATACCGGCGTGAAGGTTTTGTCCCATTACAAAAGAAGGGAGCTGTTAAGATGACTCCGCTCTCCTCGGGTTTCTCAACATCCCGTTTCAATTCTTTCGGCTTTGTCTTCATCATCTCTCCAGATGTATAATCACACTTTTTTTTAGACACGTAATCTACCTGACAATCTCATTTATTCCATCTAACCCTATTCTTTGAAGGCCGACCTGAATGACCCAGCGGTTTAGTCAGATATGACTGTACTACTAACGGACAATGACTCAACAACAGCCGTTAGAGGAGAGCGGTTCATCTGTGCAAATACCTGGTCAACTCATGATGCGATCTGAGACATGTAGCGGCAGGTTCGACTTCACCGTTTGTGCCGTCACATTTTCTGGTTCTCACATACTCATACTAACACAACACAACACACTCTCTGACTTTTATTTATCATACAAATAGGCATGGAAATACAAAATACACAGCAAATGTTGTGGGCTATGCAGGGAATTCTGGGAGATATCACATAAGACATGACATTTCAATCAACAGAAATTATTATAACAATATACCGGGGACAAAAAGAGCTTTGTTTTTTTTTGCTGCTCCCTGAAGAAACGGACACAACTGGATGTCCAACTATTTTCACATTTGTTAATACAAAAAATTGCTTATTACATTTGATTATTTATTCTACCATATTTTTTTTACCACACAAACCGTAACATAACAGTTCCCTGACATTGATAATCATATAAAACTGTAACAAAGCAAACATTCCCTGTATAGATTGATCATATATCTGGTCTCTAAGTCTCTCACACATACACAAGTGCTCTCTCAATGGGTCCACCTTTCAAGAGGGTCAAGCGCTGTCGTTTCCTACCTAGTCTTTCATCAGAAATTAGGCTTTTCATTCACACGACCACAAAAAAACACAACCTGGAGAAACCATTGACAAAAAAAAAACAAAAAACATAACATTTCTATGTGCTCGGCAGTAAAACAATATAGTCTGTAAACGGACTAAACAGGCTCACAAAATACAAGGAAAATGAATTTGTTGTGCAGTATAGAGGCTATATAAACAAATATGTGATACATTTTTGTGGAATGTGTTACAAAATGTCAGCACAAACTAAAATATATATTTACACATTGACATTCTAAATGACAAACAAAATGGCAAACAAATGCTCTTTAACAGTAATAAGTGACAGTGAACATGTATTGCCACAGACCCAATCAGTCCTATTTAATATACAGTATCAAAAAAGGAAACAACCCTGTAAGATAGTTGGGAAAACATAAGCTCAAATCTGTCTACTGTTATACTGTCTATTAACTAGACCAGGGGTGTACAATCCTGCTCCTGGAGGGTCAATCTCTTGCAGAGTTTAGCTCGACCTATTCTGCCTAAAAGTTCTAGTAAAGGTCCTGAAGACTTTGATTAGTTGTTTCAGGTGTGTTTGATTGATTGGAGTTGGAGCTAAACTCTGCAGGACAGCGTCCCTCCAGTAGCAGGACTGTACACCACTGATGTAAACCACCCCCATTTTTGAATTTATGAACCTTTAAGGCTCTGCGGTAGAGTGCCACAACAGTGTAATCCCACTTCATAACTGCATTGCAGAATTCAAAATCACATTGGTAGATCACCAGATCAGACTGCTCAGTCTTTCTGTGCGATTGTCTTTTGGGCTCAAAAAAAGGTGACTTGCAACCATCTCCATATACTCTCTGACTGTGCTCTACTAGTTGCAATTCTGGGTTCGAAGTGCCTTGACGATGATGAAGAGTTCAGAAGTCCTCCAGAAGAAGGATTTAACAGTAGGCACTTGTACTGATATGAGAATCTATCAAGCCTCGGACAGTATCAGCGTTGCACCCTAGAGCGTCTCTAAGTACTGTGGTGAAATTGAGAAAGGTCTTCTCGGTTTTTTGATAAGATGAGCATACTGGGTTGGGGGCAGAAGATCATTAAGCTTGGTGGTTTTGGTCATGATCAGTCGTATGCTATGTTTACACTGTGGTTTGACCTAATGCCACAGTGCTGCCCGTTTCCTCAGAGGTAGGTGGCTCATCAGCGCTGACCCTCATCTCAGCGTCCTCCTCTCTGAGCTGCTCTGATAGGTCCGCATTGGATTCTGTGAGCATTGTGATGGGAGCTCCTGATTGATCACTGACAGAGTCGTCCTCCAATTCGATGTTGAGGCCGTTGTAATCAGTAAGCGGGCCCTGGCTGTAGGCACCGGCACTGGCGTGAGTGAGTCCATGGACCTTCTTGAGGTGTTTCTCCAGCGTGGCATAGACGGTGAACGGAACGGAGCATAGCTGGCACTGAAAAGGAGCACGTGTCCCACGGGCGCCGTGTGTTTTCATGTGGCGTGTGAGTTTGCTGCTTTGTGCGCAGGCATAGCTGCAGAGGCCGCAGCGGTACGGTCTTTCACCCGTGTGGCTGCGCCGGTGGACTGTCAGGTTGCTGCTGTTGCGGAAAAACTTTCCGCAGAACTCGCAAGCCTCTTCTTTTTTCTTCTTGCCCCCTCCGCTGGTGACCTGCCTCCTTTCGTTCTCCTGCTGCCAGTCCCGGAGCATCTCCACAGCCTCCACCTCACGCTCCCATTCGCCTTGAGGATGATCTTCCCGCTCTGGACGCTTTGGTGTGCAGTTGCCGCTGGCGATCCCACTCTCGCCGCTTCCACCTGTATCTCCGCTCTCCAGAGAGCCCTCTGAGGGGCTGCCATAGGGAGATGGCTGCTGCGGTTCACCTTGACCCTCCTCATCGGCTTCTCTCGGAGCTTGGTAGTAGCGCAGCAGATTGAGATTGGACTGCGAAGACATCAAGATCAGGCTAGTACCTCCTGGAGGCTTCCCAGCATCTGTACTTGCTCCGTGACCAAAGGAAATTTCATTATCTCCCTGTCCAGCAAGTTTTCCGTCCTCATCTGCACTGGCAGAGTTGGGATCAGTTTCCTGTCCAGCAGCAGGGTGGCGGTGACTCCTCATGTGTCGTGCCAGTTCGCCACTCTGGGAGAACGTGAGCTGGCACACGCCGCAGTGGTAGGGCCTATCACAGGCGTGAGTGCGGCGGTGGGCGGACAAGCTGCGCATAGACTGAAAACCCTGGCCGCACAGCTCGCAGGAGAAGGCTTTGTGAAGTGGCAGAGTTGAGTGGGGAAAAGGTGAAGCGGCTGGTGGAGATGGGGACGGGGAAGGTACTACTCCGCCGTTGTTGCAGCTAACCTCCGCCAGGCGCTGCAAACACATGGAGAAGTTCAGGCCCTGCAGGTCACGTGGTGCAATGCTGGAGCCGTGGGGAGGCTTGTGAAGGGGGGCAGATCGCCGAGAGGACGGCTGGAATGCAGAGGCCAGTGTGGCGCCCAGGTGACGTGGATCCATGATGGCTGCCGGTTTTGACGTCTGTGCGATGCTGTCGTCCTCCACCTGGTAGATGTTGAGAGAATGTGTGTTCTGAGCATGCTGGAGGAGAGTCCATGCGCTGGAGAACACACATTGACACACCTGGCAGGTGAAAATGGAGGGCTCTTCGGTTATGGAGAGGAAGAAAGAGAGATAGAAAATTATTTTATTAGTCAAACAACCTAAAAGCTACATTTACATGCTAAAATTCAGCGCTGACCCTCATCTCAGCGTCCTCCTCTCTGAGCTGCTCTGATAGGTCCGCATTGGATTCTGTGAGCATTGTGATGGGAGCTCCTGATTGATCACTGACAGAGTCGTCCTCCAATTCGATGTTGAGGCCGTTGTAATCAGTAAGCGGGCCCTGGCTGTAGGCACCGGCACTGGCGTGAGTGAGTCCATGGACCTTCTTGAGGTGTTTCTCCAGCGTGGCATAGACGGTGAACGGAACGGAGCATAGCTGGCACTGAAAAGGAGCACGTGTCCCACGGGCGCCGTGTGTTTTCATGTGGCGTGTGAGTTTGCTGCTTTGTGCGCAGGCATAGCTGCAGAGGCCGCAGCGGTACGGTCTTTCACCCGTGTGGCTGCGCCGGTGGACTGTCAGGTTGCTGCTGTTGCGGAAAAACTTTCCGCAGAACTCGCAAGCCTCTTCTTTTTTCTTCTTGCCCCCTCCGCTGGTGACCTGCCTCCTTTCGTTCTCCTGCTGCCAGTCCCGGAGCATCTCCACAGCCTCCACCTCACGCTCCCATTCGCCTTGAGGATGATCTTCCCGCTCTGGACGCTTTGGTGTGCAGTTGCCGCTGGCGATCCCACTCTCGCCGCTTCCACCTGTATCTCCGCTCTCCAGAGAGCCCTCTGAGGGGCTGCCATAGGGAGATGGCTGCTGCGGTTCACCTTGACCCTCCTCATCGGCTTCTCTCGGAGCTTGGTAGTAGCGCAGCAGATTGAGATTGGACTGCGAAGACATCAAGATCAGGCTAGTACCTCCTGGAGGCTTCCCAGCATCTGTACTTGCTCCGTGACCAAAGGAAATTTCATTATCTCCCTGTCCAGCAAGTTTTCCGTCCTCATCTGCACTGGCAGAGTTGGGATCAGTTTCCTGTCCAGCAGCAGGGTGGCGGTGACTCCTCATGTGTCGTGCCAGTTCGCCACTCTGGGAGAACGTGAGCTGGCACACGCCGCAGTGGTAGGGCCTATCACAGGCGTGAGTGCGGCGGTGGGCGGACAAGCTGCGCATAGACTGAAAACCCTGGCCGCACAGCTCGCAGGAGAAGGCTTTGTGAAGTGGCAGAGTTGAGTGGGGAAAAGGTGAAGCGGCTGGTGGAGATGGGGACGGGGAAGGTACTACTCCGCCGTTGTTGCAGCTAACCTCCGCCAGGCGCTGCAAACACATGGAGAAGTTCAGGCCCTGCAGGTCACGTGGTGCAATGCTGGAGCCGTGGGGAGGCTTGTGAAGGGGGGCAGATCGCCGAGAGGACGGCTGGAATGCAGAGGCCAGTGTGGCGCCCAGGTGACGTGGATCCATGATGGCTGCCGGTTTTGACGTCTGTGCGATGCTGTCGTCCTCCACCTGGTAGATGTTGAGAGAATGTGTGTTCTGAGCATGCTGGAGGAGAGTCCATGCGCTGGAGAACACACATTGACACACCTGGCAGGTGAAAATGGAGGGCTCTTCGGTTATGGAGAGGAAGAAAGAGAGATAGAAAATTATTTTATTAGTCAAACAACCTAAAAGCTACATTTACATGCTAAAATGACTCAAAACACATTAACAGATGGCATTTTTTAAATGGCAGTGCATTCAGGAGATTCAATATGGGTCTAATGCGAACAAACAAAGCCTGTCTCATGCTATATAACCCTGTATATTTCTAACAAAACATGCTGAGTGGACCGGAAATATGTCTATCATCATGACGACATGAAAATGAAACATCAGAAAGAAAAGGCTGCAGGCGAACTTGATAATTTACAGAAAACAGAGCAAAACAGGTAAAACCACAAATACATGTGAAAACAGGGTAGGTACAGTCCAAGGCTATGTTTACAAAAAATTCTAACATGCTTCTTATGGCATATTGCATAGCTAAAAACGATGTTAAATTAAACAACATGCTGAATGCAATAATAAATGCTTCAAACAGGTGCAATGTTGTCACATGACCTCAATATACTGCATGCTCAATTCGGTGATATCATCTGGGTTTAATTTATATAGCAGTTTTAAATCAATTTTTTTGTGTATAAACGTCAGTTTTCACCAGTCCAATAAAATATTCAAGAAAGAGAAATCATGGTGAATGGGATTTCCTGCTGCGTATACTGTATATTTTGGGTACCTGTGCACTGAAACGTGTTGTAGCGTCTGCGTAGAATCATGCATGATCTTTGGGTTTTATGGCTTAAGAGACCCTTTTAGCTTTTGACATTTGCAATATCATATTGCTCCAAAATCCAAAGGCTGAAATTAGAACTCATATTTTGTTTTGTTTCGAAAATGTAGCTTATTTTTCAGAAACACTATGATTTTTGATATTGTGACATTTTCATGAAAAAAAAAGAAAATTCAAAAAAATTAATTAGCCTTCTGTAAAGTGAAATCACATATCATATAATGTATTATCTAAATTGTAAAGTATTTATACATCATGGTTGAAAAAAAGAACTGTCTAAACTTCACGATGAAAATATTTTCTTGATGTCAAAAAAAATCTTTAACAATTTTTCATGTAGCTAATTTTTTTCTTCTCATTTAAGAATGAAATGTGACCCGGACATGTTTTCTTGCTAATCACCTACATCTGCATCCTGCTAAAATAGTTCAAGTAGTATGCTACAGTCTACATGTGACAAAAACCCATCCTCCTGACCTAGTGCATCACCTCACGAGAACACGTTTTCCTCATTTGACATTTTTTCACGCAACTTTTTTAGGAAAGCTTCATGCCACAAACCCCTGCAGGTGTCAGAGCAATAATGAGCTGGTAATAGCCCCGCTGTTGAGTCAGACCTGAGCAGAAAGCCTTGCCTGATTAAAGGTGTGCTCACAGGAGAGCCGGATGACTGCGGAGAGAGAGATTGAGACAGAAGCAAATGAGCACGGATGGGCTCCTTTAGCAGCTCTGGTGGTATTTTTAAACGTGGTTAGCTTTGTCTCTATTTCAGAGAGCAGCTCGCCAATTAAGCTGCAAATTGCTAATTAGTGGAACGGGGCAAACGAAGGTTTTATGCAAATGAGTCCTGACTCAGCCTCCTTGATAAATGGGGCCTGTCTGCAAAGAGGATCCCAAAACTGAGAGGAAAATTCATTTCATTTTTTCCATTCTCTTACAAAGGGTTCAAAGCAGAGTGCTATAAGCCTCTTTTACATCTCCTCAAGTCAAAATCCTTCTGCATTTTATTGGGAGGGGGCAAAGAAGAAGATTAAAAAGAGCCTCTCCTATTCTCTTCTCTCGTACTCTGTGCCTGGAGAAGAACTCGAGTCAAAAAGCAAGAAGCCGATCTCTGAGCTTCGGGGACGGAGGTTAAAACAGGGATGAAAAGGGGAAGGATGGAAGAAAAGTGTTTAATTCAAGAACAAAAAGAAATAGCTGCACAGGTCATGAAAAACAACAGAAAAACCATCGCCCCTGTGACTGCACCTTCGCCCCCTCCAAACAACACCCCTTCTGCTTCCAAATCTCTCCCTCGGGTGGAGAGTGCGAGGAGGGTGAAGGGGGGCTTTTGTCTCAGGGTCTTGGAGTGAAACACAATACCCAGCCTGTCTCTCTCTCTCCTTTGCTTTCATTCTTTCCTCTCACTCTTTTTGTAAGGATTCCCATTTGGCCCAGGGTAGCAATTGCATATTAAGCAGAAGCAATAACCGCTAATTAAAAATGCAGATTGGCTGAGAGCGCTAACGAGCAGCAGGCAGAATCTTCTCTCTCTAGGGAACAGAGTGAGAAAGAGAGGGAGAATGAGAGCGAGAATAAAGGGACAGTTGAAAGGAAGAGCTAAGAGAAAGCTGGAGGAAATAAAAATAAGACTATTGATACATTGTCTACACTAATTCAATAATCCATTCCACTGCACCGCTGTCTCCAAAATCTCTCTATGTCACTCTTTTACACCCACACAGAAGCACACACACGCACACACACGCACGCATACACACACTCCTGTCTGATGGGTTGTGGGCTAACTGAATTTTCATTGGATGAGTCAAAATGAAAGCGCAAATACAACGCATACAAAACGCCCTCATCCACCCAAGCAGCACAAAAATGTATCATTTTGGGGTCCAAGATTTGCCAAGAATTAGGATACTTTTAAACTCTGCCACCCATAGAACATAATGTTTTTCAACCAATACAAATACTTTTAAACCAATACAGGTTTTTAAATTATTTGTGTTTTCAAAGTAGATATTAGCATTCAACGCGCTATGTGAGCGTTCAAAATGCTATGTGAGCAATCGATCTTAATAAAAAACCTAAATCCAAATAAAAAAAATATTGGAAATTAATATGTATGATTAAATATCAAGTATGGTGTAATATTCTAAAAAGCTAAGTCTAATATCAACAGATAAGCAATAAGGTACCATTATAATAGACCTAACTACACATAACACAAGTAAAATACATGTGGTAAAAATGGCACTGGCTTTTTTTTTCTATGGTTATGATTTTTAAATAAAGCAATAAGCCCCAAGAAGCCGTGGTTTACAGTGAATTTATAACAGCTAAGGGGCTTTGTTAGGCACGACGCAAAGCGGGGCTTCACGGGGCTTATTGCTTTTATAAAATGGTTATTCCATATATGTAGTTCACATCGTGCCTAACAACGCCCCCTAGCTGTTATAAATTCACTGTAAACCACGGGTTCTTGGGGCTTATTGCTTTTATAGGACCGGAACTATCCATTTTATAACTTTGTTTTTTTAATGCTGTAACCTACATCATATGTTATCCCTATTCCTACAAATGAAATATGTAAATGCTAAATACTTAAAATAGTTAGGGACTCTTAAATTAGTGTATTTGCTTTTGGGGTGTCATTGGCTACCGTTTTAGATTGTCAACAGTAAGAATTTTTTCTTTTAAGAAATGGATACTTCTTTCAGCTAGAATGCATTAAAGGGTTAGCTCACCCAAAAATGAAAATTCTGTCATCACTCACCCTCATGTCGTTTCAAACCCGTAAGACCTTCGTTCATCTTCGGAACACAAATTAAGATATTTTTGATGGAATCTGAGAGCTGTCTGACCCTCCCATAGACAGCAACGCAACTGAAATGTTCCCAAGTCCAGAAACGTAGCAAGGAGATCTGTAAAATAATCCATGTGACATCAGTGGTTCAACCGCAATTATACGAAGCTACGAGCATACTTTTTGTGCACAAACGAAAAAAAAAAAACGACTTTATTCAACAATTCTTCTCCTCCGCATCACCCTGTAGCGCCATTTTGGAGAGTATCAGCTGGACGTAAACAACGTATGCTGTTCTGTGTCAGCTGCGTCACACGGATTATTTTACAGATCTCCTTGCTACGTCTCTGGACTTGGGAACATTTAAGTTGTATTGCTGTCCATGCAGGGTCAGACAGCTCTCAAATTCCATCAAAAATATCTTAATTTGTGTTCCGAAGATGAATGAAGGTCTTACGGGTTTGAAACGACATGAGGGTGAGTGATGACAGAATTTTCATTTTTGGGTGAACTATCCCTTTAAATTGATTAAAACTGACAGTAAAGACGCTTACATTGTTACAATATTTCTATTTCAAATAAATGCCGTTTCAACCATTTTGAACTTTGATAATAAGAAATATTACAGATCTGGCAACCAGAACCTGTCCATTACAACAACTCACCATTCACTTACTTTCATATATCACATGCTCATTTTCAAGCAAAACTTTTACACTTCAAACAGTTCCTTCTCAGACCCCATCTCTTATCTCATTCTTCTGTCACTGAAGCCTCAAAATCTTTGCGTCAATAATAACCCAAGACTGTCGACAGTGAGGAAGTAACACATTAGTATATTTGCACCTCTCACCCTGACACCTTTATCAGCAACATACACCTTCACACACAAAAAGAGGCAAAAGGGACTGAACCCCAGAGTAGCAAGAAAGATAGACGGACTGAAGCGGAGCACAAAAAGGAAGGAAGCGCAAACATGTGTACGTTCAGGAGGGAGTGACCCAAAAGCGAAAACATGTTTCGTTGATAATAATCAATAATCATTTGCTTGCCTCTATAAACAGTCAGTAATTACAAACTAATAAATGTTTGCTTTGCTCATGCTGTAGAGTGAAAGAATCCTGCCCATATGAGGAAGCAGTTCAGGTCACGGTTCAATAGCATCACCCTGAGAAACACCAACCCAACACCTGCACAGGCCGATGATTCCCTTTAGGGCCAACAATTGCACTGAAAAACACACTAGCTTTTGACACACACTACTGTAACACACCCCCCCACCAACATCCTGTTTAACAGTCAAAAGAGTTCAATGTTTCACCAAAATTCTTCTCATACAACTCATAAAAATAGAGGTTCTTTATTGACATCTTTGCTTCGTTGAAGAACCTTCAACATCCATGGAAACCTTTCTTTTCTAAAAAGGTTTCTTTGACTATTAATGTGTTCAAATATTAAAACCTGCATATGACAGTTTTATTATTTTTTTAATTAGCATTTTTTCCCTACACATATCTATTGTTTTGCTTCAGAAGACATTGATTCATCAATTGGATTGCTTTGTGTGGTTTTCAAAGCATCAACTTTAGCTTTCCTATACACGCGCATTATATAGACTCTAAGAAATTGATTATTTATGTTAAAATCGTAGTTTGTGTTCATCTGAAGAAAAAAAATCACATACATCTGGGACAGAATGAGGATGAGAACATGATGAGAGAATTTCCCGTTACAATGAGAGTGTCCCATTACAAAAGGTTCACTGGTGAACCCAAAAGGTTCTTCAATGAAGTCTTTGCAAAAACCCTCTTGGAACCTTTATTTTGAAGACTGTGCGATGCTTCAACAGGCAATAGATTCATAACTCAAGGTCAACAAATGGAAAAAACGTCAAATTTTGAGACTTTATTTTGAATAGCGCAGTAAGAGGACGGGAGCGAAGCAATTCACAAAGGACTCTGGGAATAACACACCATGTCAGCACCTGCTATGACTGACAGTGCTGGAATAATGAGGAAAGTGTGCTCTGGGAGTTGTGCAGTTTGGTGGCCTGACTGTGCTGTGTTTACCTGGCCACTTCACCTGAGAGACAGAGCTAAGGAGATGCTCAGGTGTGCTCAGGTGCCTTTCCGCCGTCCCCCAGGGTGCATGCATAAGTGTACGTTTGCTTGTGTGTGTAGCAGAACTGCCTATCTCTTCCACACAATTAGGCTTGGCGTCTCTAACTCTCCAACTCACCAAGGCCTCAGTGCCACAGCAACGGCAGTCTAATGAGCTGGACTGGGGACGAGGTCGTTAAATGAGGGGACAGTTTTACAAAAAAAGACACTAATTAGCACCTAGAACTCACCGGCTCGGTTGGCCTCCACCCTCACACCTGGCTCTTCCTTCCATCTCTTGTCCGTCATACGCCGGAGCTCCACGTAACCCGCCTCCACCTGCGTTCCTTGGCCGAATCGGTGCGTCCGATTGGCCGGAGAGGGAGGAGTGTGGACCTGAGGCCGGGCTCTGGCTGTGCCGCACCCGCCCTGTTTGTGCTGGATGAAGGTGAGGATGTGGGCCAATGGGAAGGCTTGACCACACTGGCCACATGTCAACAGGTCACGGCCTCCATCATCCGGCTGAGGGATCTGCTCAGGTGACGGCGAAGAGTCGGCGGGGATGACTGTGGAATCCGGAGCGTCTGTGAGCAGAACAACGCACAAAAAAGCTGTAAAAACACTCTGTTCAGAGAGTCCCTTGGAACTCTTGAAATGACCCAACTGAGTGGCTTTGCAAAAGCCTCGCTTCTCTTCTAATGTGCTACTTTAAGTTCTCTGCAATCGTCGGCGTACTGCTAAACTGTCATCATCAGCACGGCTCTGTCTGGTCAACAGATACTGACCACTTCCTGCGTCTCTGCCACCGAGGTCTGCTTTGCACAGGAAGTAGCGCGATGCAGCTCCGACCCGCTTGAGCAATTCGCCCATTAGAGCATGCTGATGTATCAGGCACTTTGCACTGTAGTCGTCCTACCATGCTCACAATCTGCTGATCTAAACATGGTGTCTTTCACACCACTCATAACCGCTGAGGCGAATGAGCGATGCAGCATGTAAATCTAGACAGGCCAAAGCTGAGCCAAACAGGATTTTGCTACCAAGACTATGAAAAAAAGCCTACTTTGAGTGGGTTAATACCAACTTTTAAAAATGTATCTGTGCATAAACTGAAAGTCACTTTAATATTTTGTCTCTTAGTGCACATAATGCTGTTTTTACACTACAAATGTGGCACAGAAGCTGCATTTAATTGCATTTAAACTGAATAATGCTGCACAGAGGACACACAAGATATATTTTTTTCAAATTAATCATTTAAAATGAATTCTTGAACAGAAACATTAAACTATAACTACTCTGTAATAATAAAGGCAATGTTTAATGATGCAACGTTGCTGCATTAATTTACACAGCAGCATCAGGGCCTCTTGAGGTGGATCAAATCTGCATATTTTAATACATATGCGTAATTTAATTTTTACACACAATGAATTTGTGCAGACACAGATCATAGGCTGAGCACCTTGGCTGTGTAGAGACCTTGAGTTAAGAGAGGAACTTGCCCTTTGGCCTGGGTGCCGCTGCTGTGGTCATGGGCTCCAGATCTCTCTCTCTCTCACTCACACACACCTTACAGCCTGGACTGGATCCACCTGCCCGGTCTAGGCTGTCCATGCCGATGCAGGTACAGACAGTCCCGCGGCGGGGAGGATTTCACCAGTGGTTACTCAAAAATGTCACCTTTCCTGTTTCAACAGCTCTGGTTGTTTGTGCCGACACGCAAAAGGTGCGGCTGCTCTCTCTCGCTCGCTCTCACACACACACACACGTCTGGTTCACTATCCTTGTGGGGACTCTCCATAGGCGTAATGGTTTTTCTACTGTACAGACTGTATATTCTATTGCCCTACACCAACCCTACACCTAAACCTACCCCTTACAGGAAACTTTCTGCATTTTTAGATTTTCAAAAAACTTAATTCTGTATGATTTATAAGCTTTTGTACCCGAGGAGACCACAATTTAGGTCCCCACCGTGACACGAGTCCCCATGAGTCTGTGTGTAGTCAGGTTTAAGTCCCCACCAGGATATATAAACCAGTACACGCACATACACACACATACACACGCAAACACACACGCACACGCGCACACGCACGCACACACGCACACACTGGAAATCCGACTCATTTAAGTGAATCGGTTCTTTCGACCAATTCGTTTCAAGCGTTCAGCGGTTGTCAAGGACCACGTGATAACGGAAAACATCTCGCTCTGGGGATATATTACATGCACCAAATCGTTCAGTACAGCCATTTATAGGCACATGTTGCGGTTTATTACTGTTTACTATTAATGTGGATATTTATAATGTGTGTGTCTCAGTTCAACTGTAGCCTTGATTTAGCTTAGTCAGTTAGAACCTAAATGTAATTTGCATTTGCATTATAAACAATACTAAAATTAACTAACATCTCAAAATTAAATAAGTTAATAGGCTAAGCATGTTAAAAACGCAATTAAATAAAAACAGTCTCGTATCCGTGTTGATATAACGGTCATAGTTACAATCACGCCGTAAACGTATTTTAGTTAGTTTAATTTGTAATTTTTCTGCTATTCGGTTTTTAAAGTAGCTACTCGTTAGCCCCGTCAGTGAAATGCTTCGTTCAACCGATTCATTGAACAAATCCGTCTCAACCATTAAACTAGACTCAAGTTTTGTGGTCAGGTGAGGCACGCACAGCTCCCCACAGTTAGAAGATAAAACAAACAACAAAAAGATCCTGTCATGATCAAAACAATATTTCACAGCAATATATGTACACGCATTCGTTTTACGGTGACTATGTTTAGCAATCAATTTTTTATATCAATAAACAAAACAATATTCAAGCGACGCGCACTTGTCAGCGGGTAAAATAACGTGTTCACTGCCATCAGAAAATGAGGATTGGTGTAAATAAAAATGAAACCTAACGGAAAAATTACAAAGTAGTAGCTAAGGTATGAAAGTGACGACACAAAACATAAAGATATTGTGAAAATACAATAAGGAAGTGCTATTTTATTGCTCCAACTCGTTCAGTGTCTAAGAAACTTAAACCTAAAATCCCTTAAACAGCCTGTAAATGTAAGACGGACACAGAATGGCTACTGATACGACACTGAACGCTCGTCAGCGACACGTACAAATAAAAACATGAGGGTAACGTTAGGTTAATTATTTCAACTCCAATGTCAAGTTCTGTACAGGCACTGGAGTGAGCCACAGACCACGTGAAAAGTTATTACATCGATTACGCGTACTCTCATTCTCACACTCCCACATTATTCAGATTCGGTTCTACATAAATATGTGCATGTTCTCGTTTACATGTGGATAAAGTTGTCTTAAATCCAGCTTACCTTGCATTGCGCTCAGGTGTTGCGGTCTGCTGCCGAGTTTACGTCTGGACATAGTGAGAGAAGATCTTCTAAAACTACACCAGAACTAAGCGGACACTAGAAATCTCATACAACGGCAGTGATGTGTGACTCGACTGTCGTTGAGTGCTGTGCCCGTCAGTGTTCAAGTTCACACTGTCTGCGGGCCCTACAGGAGGAGGAGGGCATGAGCAACGCCTCCAGCCCGCCCATCACCATCCTCCTCCTCCTCCTCTTCCTCCTCTTCTGCCCTCTCTCTTATCATAATTGACCTCGTTAAACAACTCTGCTTAGGCAACAGCATCAGGGCCACTTTAAATGATCCAATCTCTTTCTTTTCCTTATCTATCTGTTGTATTGAAGGAATTATGTAAATAGTCGCTTTGATGGCGCGCAGCTGTTGCTCTGACACCAATAAACTGTGCTGGTTAAGGATGTGGGTGAAGAGGAAGTGGCTTTATCGAGGTCGACTGAGACAGGTGTTTGTTTTGCTGTCCGGCTTATTTCGAAACCCAAAGTAACTGTCGCTTTACTTTCAGACACTTGCTTCTCTTTTGTGGAGGGCGGGGGTAAATACAAGCACGCGGGGACTGCTGAAAGTTGTCTTCGTGTATATAAAGTGGTCAAACTCCCATTCAAAATAACAGCAATTTTTGTCGAATCACGTATTTCTTAGTGAAGCGCGCCATCTGGCGGTTACAATAGGTAGGGGTTGTTACGCCAAAGAAAATGCGTTTTTGTTTTCGATGTAAACGAGTAAAACACTCAAGCCAAAGTTATTTGTTTCCATTCATTATTAGCTTTTTATTTCAATGTCAAAACCTGTGCTCTTAATACAAGAAAGAACCACCAGACATTTACATTGTCGAGTGAAAAAATCATGGCATTTAAAATCAGCATTTTCTGTGCAAGAAATTTCATCACTCTTACATGAAGGGACTATATACAATGATGAGGTAAAATGGGTAGATGCACCCCCAAAAAAACAACTCTTTTAATCACCCTCACTCATCTCGTTTTTCTTCCATAGAACACAAAAGCAGACATTAGGTAGAATGACGTGTTTCCTGGAAGTCAGTTATATGTGTTTGGATCAACGTGAGGGTGAGTAAATGACAGAATTAGCTTTTTTTGGGTGAACTCTCTCTTTAATGGTGGTATAAGACACAAGGAAGAGCATAAATTTCATCCCACTTACGTCACAAAATTCAACACAGATCGACTCCAAATAATCTGCAAAGTTTATTAGAATCCTAGTAGCTCAAAGCATTCCTGGCAACCCTGCTGTGTAATATCAAGAATGGGAGGTGATATGTGTTTTCAGAGCATGATGGTGTTAATTTTTACATTTTAGAAATGATTTGTTTCCATTGCATCCAGTTTAGAAGATGTAAAAGAGAAGCTGAAGTGAGTGAAATTAATTTTATTGATATTTTTCCCCAAACTTCTGAGTAAACTCTTGCCATCATGGTCACCATTCTGTTTGACGTCTTAGGGCCTCGACTGTTTTATCAGCCAATTCTTCAGTACCGGTATTGAGGACTCCGTGATCTTGAGCGTGATCTCCTGTTGTGGAAGACAGTAGAAATGTTTGAAATGAGCCAGAACAACAGTACGTTTAGATGAAATGGACAAGTGTGGCTGGTCCAGACTGGTTTAGCATACCTTCTGGATGAGCTGTAGTCCCGACCTGTGGGGTGTTCAAGATTTATGATTAGAATCTTCTTCATGAGTAAGTTTTTGCAAGTGTCTTAATTGTTACCACACTGTGTATACATCTATAGAATTCTATCACTACCAAAAAAACAACAACACACAATTCAATCCACAGAAAGAGTCTTGTTTCAATTCTTTCATAATGTGAATAACAATACGACCGTATCTCTATAAGAACAGGGGATTCTTTGGTGGGAGGCTTTTACAGCACAAATAAACTCACCGTATTTGTCATCGGGGGAGGGCGAGTGACTCTGACCTCCATACTGTTTCTCCCATTCATCCCTCTCTTTTTCCCGCCGTTCTCGCTCCCTACAAGACCAAACAATGACCGAACTGTATCCTCTTCTTTACAAACCAAGAGGACAGTTCCCACATGAACATGCTGCACATGTATATACACGCTCGGACTCACTTCATGCGTATTTTCCTTGCCATTGCGCGAAGAACTCCTTCTCGTTCCTGCGATGGGAGGGGGAAAATACATGAGCGTTAAAAAGTAAATAACTACCTGGAATCACCCCTCCTACCCACATACCAACTGTACACCCACACTTTTACCTGTCGCTTGTTCTCTTGTTGCTGGATCTTGGCTTGTGCGGCCTTCTTATCCGCCTTGGCTGATGAAGGTGAAAGCAGAAGGTGAGGCAGGGTCAACAGGCTTTTATTTTACATAACATGCTGCTTAGGAAGTGGTATATACACTACTGTTCAAAATTTTGGGGTCAGTAAAAAATAAAGAAATTAATACTTTGACCAAATTTCAAATTTATGACCAAAAGTGACATTAAAGACTTTTATAATACTACAAAAGATTTCCATTAAAAAGCTGTTCTTTTGAACTTTCTATTAATCAAAGAATCGTGAAAAAAGTATCGGTTACCACAAAAATATTATGATGAACAGAAACATTAAAATGATTTCTGAAAAATTAAGTGACACTCAAGACCATTTACTAAAGCCATATTTTAAAACACAAATATATTTACATTTTTCATAATAGAAAACAATTGTTTGAAATTCAATAATATTTCACAATATTACAGTATCTTTTAGATATCTTTTAAAAAAAAAGTTTTGAATTGTAATTTATTCCTGTGATGGCAAAGCTGAGCAGCCACAAGATAATTTAAAAGAGATCCTTTCCAGTCTTCAATATCACAAGATCCTTTAAAAATTATGCTGATTTGGTGCTCAAAAAACATTTATTATCATTGTTGAAAACAGCTGTGCTGCTTAATATTTTTGTAGAAACTGTAATGCATTTTTATCAGATTTTTATCAGTGACAGTAAATGTAAATTATTAATTTCTTTCCAAAAATTATTATATATATACACATACACACACACACACACACACACACACACACACACAGTAGTCAACATTTAAAGTGGATCACAAAAGTTCATCAAAGTTGTTCAGAGACAAGAACGCTTCTAGGTTTTAGGACAACTTTGAACTTTTTTGATCCATTTTAAATGTTGACTACTGTATATAAACAACAAAAAGGAAACAATACTTTTGAATAGCAATGTAAAAAAAGATGCATTATTTTCATTTTGAGACTTGCCAAAGATTGCATTCACCAGTTTTCATTTGTCAAAATCATTTGTGTTATTAAAGCATTTGAGTGTTAATTGGACAGAAATGAGAATGCACAATAAATATAAATATAAAAATAATGCTAACTGATATGGTACCAATATACTGTGTATGCCTAGCATAAATATGGAATAAAATGGTTCCTGCATGCCTGAGATAGTAACTCACATTGCTTGTTTAGAGCCTTCTGCATACGGAGTTTGAGCTTCTCTTGTGGTGTCATCTTGGGCTGCAATGGACACAGTGACTTTAGAAGTACGATGGAAAAGTTTATGCAAAGAACAGCGGCAGACAACAAGGAATCTAGTTTACTAACTTAAACTTGTGTCATGTCATGCAGAAGGACGAGAGTGTTTTAAACTACATACAGATCATTTATATGCTGCATGTTGAACAGCAGCAGACAGTCCTGTTTCAAAGAAATGCCTGTGATGTTTTAAGTTATTGATGTATTTGTAGGGATATGGAAAAGTGCAAAGTGTGAACAGACAAATGGAGGCAGCCAGCACTATGTCGACTCTTCTTCTCACCAGGTCAGGTACATCAACTCGATGGAACAGTTACAAAATGGCAGCTACTGTAGCCATTTCAGAAGGTGCTGCCTTGAAGCTGTTCAACCTTTACACACAAGGACAATCTGTATTGACTTATGCAGGTGTGTTTGTGTGTGCGAGTGAGTGAAGTTGCTCTGCCTGCCTTGACAAGCCCAGTGCAGAAGCAACACCTGAGCTGTTTAACTGCTGAGCAAACCTGCCAAGAACCTTTATTCCTTTGTAGTTTTCCTTTCATCAGCTCACGTTCATTCACAGGTGTCTCTCAACAACCCATCATTCAGATAATACTCGGTAAGATAAATGAGAAGTACATGTATCATTTCCCTAAACAGAAGACAAATCTATAGCGCTTCCAAAGAGCACAAAGAAATATCTGGGTCCTTTAGAGATAGAGTTGGTCACTTCCTGCTTCTTTCTTACAAAAAATAAATAAAAATAAGGCAAAAAGTGAGTTGGGTAAGCTCAGATATGGCTGCTCTTCAAAAGACCATTGCATTCTGTAAATAGAGGGCAGCTGATCACCAAGTGGACAGCCAATCAAAAACACATTTCAAATGAGAACAAGGGCTCTTTGAAGAGCCAAGAGATGGGCAGGAGCCCCAGCCTGATTGTTAACTGCATCAGCCTGTCAGGGGTGAGGGAGGCGGAGTCTTTAGCAACAAATTCGAGATATATCAAATTCTTACTGACTTTGGCAGCTCCAGTCTCTTTACCACCCGGAGTTTCAGGCCTGGGGGAGAAAAAAAAAAATGATACAGAATTTTTGGTCAGTAGTCACTTATGAGGCATAGGACAGTAATATTAATGATGATAATAATAATAATAATAAATCAATACTACTACTAATAATTTTATTTTACAGAAGTAAAATTGCAATACTACTAATTTTTAACCCTATAAACTCTACTGTATCATATTTGATCCACAAATTTCTAAGGCCTCTAATGCTACGTTCACAACTACAGGCAAATGTGGCCCAATTTTTTTTGTGTTTTGCAATGCAACCACAGACTGAACAATCATATCGGAATATATGCAACTTTTACGTCACTCTAGTCTAGATCAACATTCGTCACAATTCTGTGATCATGGGAGTCATGACCTAATGGTTAGAGAGTCGGACTTGTAACCCGAAGTTTGTGGGTTCGAGTCTCAGGTCCGGCAGGAATTGAAGGTGGGGGGAGTGAATAACTGTCGCTCTCTTCCACCCTCAATACCAGGAGTGAGGTGAGACCCTTGAGCAAGGAACCGAACCCCCCAACTGCTCCCCGGGCGCAGAAGCAAAAATGGCTGCCCACTGCTCCAGATGCGTGTTCACGGTGCGTGGGTGTTCACTAATGTGTGTGTGTGTACTTT